GTAGTAGTAGTAGTAGTAGTAGTAGTAGTAAACGTAGTAGTAGTAGTAGTAGTAGTAGTAGTAGCAGTAGTAGTAGTAGTTCTGTCACTCGCTTGGTACGCCAATGACAGCTCCGCGAGGACTTGTTGTCCACTAGGCGCAACGGGGTCCCAGGCAATCCACAGAGGAACAAACGCCAAAGGCACGTAACGCCAACAACCACACAATACGCGAATTGCTCAGCCGACCCCGTCGGTTTGTCTGCATCAGCAGGTAATCAGCTCTACTCTCAAGATTTGTTTGTTGAGACATGTGCTACAGGTCACTCCTTCCGGTGCACAACAGCTAACAACCAGTGAAGCAACCCTTAGTAACAGGCTCACCACAGCTGACCCGTAACCCCATGAGGAGGACCATTGAAGATTCCTACCATATAGCGGCAGCTGCAACTATACAGAGTTTGCTGTCACTGAGCATTAACTTCAACTATGCAGAGGTTGTCACGAATTCGTCCACAACTTGCAACTCGCCAATATCAACAGTCAGGCCGCGCTCACTGGTTCCTTGCCACCTCCCCACTGGGCGTAGTTCAGGCAGTTTCCCTTTTCCTATTCTATCCACCATAGGCGCAGGCACAGTTTTTTCACAGCACGTTGCCAGTAGTTTCCACCAGAGCTCGGCACGGTCTCCGTAACAATGTTGGCATGCACGCACTGAGCCCTGACATGCCCTCGTCGTAGAACTGTCGCGTGTTCTCTGTAGCAGATTCATCTGGGCGTCTGCATTGGAGATCCAAGTGGCAGCCTCAGGCAGAGTGCTCCAACATATGTGGTTTTGGAGCTCGATGCCCAAAGTTTGGCTCAGGTTATCCAGCAGTCCCAACAGTCACACACGCGCAGCTCGAGTCAGCATGCCAGCTTGCCAATGCCTCGGCCATGTCCAGTGTTGAAGCCCAATATGCAAAGTTCGGCTCGGGTTCCATCGCGAGCCCTGAAGCAATATATGCACAGCTAGAATCTGCGTGGCCATGCAGGGGTGCCGTTATCCCGTAGTCTCCATGGGAGCGTCAGTCGTATGCACATGTCAGGAAACGACGTGGCGGTCTGCGCGGGTACAGCCCCGGGAATACATAGCTCCTCCAGATGGCTCCCCGACAGTATCACGTAGCCTCCACGGCAGTGTCAGTCGTATGCGCGGGTACAGCCCCGGGAATACATAGCTCCTGCAGATGGTTCCACGACATTGTCAGTCTTGTGCACATGTCAGGGAACAATATGACGGCACGCGTGGGTACAGCCCCGGAAATACAAAGTTCCTTCAGGTTGTTCCCGACTGTATCCGAGTCAAGTTGAACAGAGCTCCTGCTTCTGGGCGCTTGGATACATCGAGGTCAGGTGCTCGAGGTGCAACGGTATCCAAAATGTCCAGCGTCAGCTCCCCATCGCAGCATTTACCGCGTCCAGGTGCTCCGTTTCAGGAAGCCGTTTGTTCACGACTCGTATCCAGTGACGCAGCAGAGGAATTCGCGCTAAAATGGCTCCATGGGACTACTCGGCGCAGGCGAGTGAAACGCATGGCCTCCAGGTTCTCACGGGGATAGTAAGGAAGAGGTTTAGGACCGGAGAAACCCAATGAACCCATAAATACCGTAAGAATCGAAAGCCCTGACAAGCTTTGTGGGTCCGCGTTGGTTTGGATCTCTGGCATGTTGCACACCGAGACCACAGGTCAGGCTGGTTTAAAGGTAAGGCACCAGGCAGCAGGAGCGCAGCAAGGGATCAGTGCAGAAAAGGACAAGTAGCAAGGGCAAGGCAGGTTAACAGTCCAGCAGTCCAGCAGCGGGAAAACAGAACCCCTCCTGCAAAACAACAAGGCAAAGAAGGCAGTGCAGTGGGCAAGGCAAGGTTTGAATTCGGCATCGCAGTCCCATCATCCTTCAGTACGCAACGGGCATCACCCATTTCACCACCTCAACGGACACGACGACGCTGCAACGAGTTCGCAGTCTGAGTGGTCCTCAAGGTTTAGGGTGACGGGCTGTATGTTTGGCTCGGCTACGTCATCGGATTCAACAGAGAGGGTCAGCGTCTGTTTGGGCTTGGGATTCAACAGAAAGTCCAGGATGTTCCTACCAGGGCGGGGTGTTTTGGGAGCCTGGTCAGGTTTAAATCCCAGTTCTCTAAGGGCCTCGCAGAGCTCCTGACTACACAGCGCCTTTCGTTTAGGGTGGAAGGCTGCAATGCTGATGCGTTGGTTTGTTGTTGGCTGTGTAAGCTCGGTATTCCAGGGTTGTAAGACTCCACAATGTGGCTGTTTCGCATCAAAGGTCATAGGCCCATCTTTGAGGTCCACTTCTCGTCCTGGCACCAACTCGCCACGGAACTCCTCGTAGGTGGTCCCTGAACTGTCTGAAAGCCAGAAGCCACAGCTCCCTGCACCTGACCCCGACAAGACAGCACTACGTCCTACCGCAGAAACGTCCGTATGCACTTGACATTTACCACCTACTCGTACTGCAAGGCATGAGAACTGCAGTTTGGGGAAATGCATATTGACGAAAGTGGTAAGTAGCTTGGTGGTTTCAGGGAGGAGTCGGGTAGGCACAGTTACGTGGGCATTGGTTCGAGGTGACATACCGAAAACAATGCATCCATGAGGTTTGGGAGCGGGTGACCAAAGCTTATTGGGGATAAGGGATACAAGCATGACAAGGTCAAGAGCAGGCGGAACAGAAGACGCTGCACGTAGTTCCTCAACAAGTGCTTTCGCGCGTGTTTCAGCCGACATGTTTGGCAAGGGCGGGCTTGGCAGGGCTTATGGATGTAAGAGGGACCATCACTCGTTGGTGTTTTTCGTCGAACCTGTGAGCCGAGCTTGAGCCGTAGCCATTTGTAGTAGTAGTAGTAGTAGTAGTAGTAGTAGTAGTAGTAACAATAGTAGTAGCAGCAGCAGTAGTAATGGAAGCAGTAGTCGCAGCAGTAGTAGCAGTAGCGGTAGCAGTAGCAGTAGCACTCTTCCTAGTGCTGGTACTAGTACTAGTACCGGCAGCACCAGCAGTAGCGGGGGCGATAGGGGTCATGGTCGTGATTTGTTGGTGGTCGTGGTAGTCGTCGTGGCAGCAGTAGTGGTAGGTGTATTGCAGTGGTAGCACCCAGCAGTACTGGAATAAGATTGCCCCATCTGACAGAAGAAGAGAGGCTGAAGTCTTCACACCGCGAAAATTACAAGTTGCTGGTACAGATAACAAGCACGGCAAAGTTCAAAAACGCAACAACGGTAGCATGGCTAAAGGGACAAGTCACACTATCATTAGCGAAACATCTAGTAATCTAGTATTGCTGCATTTGGCTTAGACAGGCAGCAACGAGTCGTGATGTACATGGCCCGCTTAAAGCTTTGCAACGAGCCAGAAGGGCAGGACTGGTGGTAATCGCAGTAGCAGCAGAACTTAATAGAAGTAGTCGTCGTCCTCGTCATCTTGGCCGTCGCGGTGGTAATACACGGAACAGAATCGGAAGCAGCAGGAGAGGTGGCGGCAGCAAATGGTGCGTCACACAGTAGGCCCCCGACGGCACATTGATGGACCCGACCAGTTTTTCTAGGAACTGTCGAGAGGCCTGAGAGCTCCGAGCATGGATGGGCGAATGTTTGCAGAGATTCAGTGGGAGATCCAAACGGAGGAGCCGGACTTTCTGGCGTTGGTTGATCTTGGCCTTGTTGGTGTGGGGTAATTAAGTCAAGATTACAGGTTTTGATGGTGAAGTTTGGCTCAGAAGCGGTTGCAAGGTCACAGCATCTCGTCGTCGTAAACCACTCTGCCGCTTTCGACGGATTTCTGCGAAGAAGCCCTCATGCTGACTAATTAGGGCAGGGCCTGGTAAGTTTTACAGCCAGCACCCTTTGGAGACCCTCGAAACTGAAGCCATGAAGCCCTCAGCTGTAAAGCCAGCATCAGGGCCTCGATCTGCTGCGGAGGAACGACGGCGCGCAGGATGCAAAAGCCCTCGAGTGGGAATCAAAGTTCTGGCTTTTAGGGTCGGGAGGGTGGTTTTAGGGGAGATCGAAACTCAAGACACCCTTGAGTTGGATCTCATTAGATGTGTCGAGAGAAGTCTTGACATGCTGCTCCGACTTGAAGCTGGCACGGCCTGCAAAGGCTTCAATACAAAGCTGGAGTGCGACAACATGGACAAAAGCACTCATGAGCCCTAAATAATTGAAAGGCTGTTCCAATATCTGGCCCCTTCATGTCCCTTCCAGTACGTCAGACTACTGTTTGCCGAAAGGCGGTCGCCTAAATGCAGCCCCTGTAGCGCGACGAAGTGTACAAAGCCCCGCCTGCTCTTCGTAGGCATTCAGCCTCGTTGGGACGGTCGCAGGGGAGGGATTGCTTAAGGGTTTGAGGGCTCCAAATCCTTTATGGGCTTCCTTGATTGCTTGACTGATCCCTGGCAGATTTAATTTGGGTGTTCGGGTTTATAGGAGTTAAGGGTACTGGATGGCACTGGTGCGCTTTCCAGTGTTCAGCCATGAGAACGGATCTCGTCGTCTTGGAAGCTAACGGGTATGGGCACCAAGGTGTCTGGCCCCTCGACTTCAAGCCGAGACTGTCTTTGGCCTGTATGTGCGCCGGTACTCATGGCGCCCTAAAGCGATGAAAGGATGCCGACGTGCAAACGTATCCTGGGCTCTAGGAGATTTAAGGCTCTCTACACAGAAAAAAGTTGGTATATTGAAATTCCGGCGATCTGCACGGTCTCCGAGCAGCACGGCTCGAAAAGTCATGCACCCTGCAGCCGTGCTGAAATGCCCCTGACTCCGCAATTCTACCGCCGCCAGAATAGAAAGGCAAGAGACAGTGCTTGGCTCAAAGGTTTGCTCGAATTCCCAGGCCACACCTCAACAGCTTGTCTCATGCTTCGCGACATGAGGCTGAGGATAGGTTTGGGGCAGGTTACTGTACATGAGAGCCGCATGCAGGGTTGAGGGTTTCCGGGACATGCTCGTCTATCTCCGTGTCTGTCTGTCTGTGTCTGCCTCTCTGTGTCTTTCTCTGTCGGTCTGTCTGTCGATCTATCGGTCTATCGGTCGGTCGGTCGGTCTGTCGGTCTGTCGGTCTGTCTGTCGGTCTCTCTGTGCTTCTCTGTCTGTCTGTCTGTGCCTGTCTATCTATCTATCTGGCGTATCTGTGGTGTGTCCGAGTGGTGTCTGAGTGTCTGTCTGTGTGTCGTTTCGCGGCAACACTCAAATCTCGGCCGAAGACCTGGCAAGCCCTGCAACCATCACCAACACCACTAAACGTCAACAGCAGCTGCAGCAGCATCACAACCACAAGCATCCCATTGCAGTTCCAGCTCCTGTTGCTTTCACTTTTTTTTGAAGCCAGAGCTCTGTCCAGAAACTGCAACCCTGAATCTTCCCCACAGTCGGGCGACCACGGGATGCACCCGCAGGACCGCGCCACTCTGCGCACCGCGGGTGGCATAAGGGCTCGCTGGGCGGATGCCCGGCGAGGGGCCTCGCAGTAGTAGGGCGTGCAGGTTGGGGCCCTCGCTAAGGATTTAGTTTCAAGCCGTCCGGGTCGGAGTGGGATGTGAGTGGCTACTATATTCATGAGTTGGTCGAACACCCCCCCCTCGAGGGCCCCCCCCAGCCAGATAGCTGCATTATGCCCCGTGCCGGCACGTGCTGAAGAGTTTGTCATTGTCACTACGCCGCCCGCAGGAGTCTTTATTGGGCAAGTGTGTTCAGATTCAACTCGTGAGGTTTTACGTCCTGCACCTGTAAGATCGTACTGTACTGTCCTCGTTTTGACGCATGCGACGCATCTTAGCATTCTGGGCTATTAGCCAGCTAATAGCTAGCAAATAGGCACGATTGCCAACCTCTGGCGTCTCAAACTTGCAGGGGCACTGTCCATTGAGTGCTTGATTAAGCGGTCCTAAGTCGGCACAGCTCTGCCAAGACTTCTTCTACTTGCATTTTCACGGCTGTCAGTGCAACTCAGCCTTCGCTTGAACACGGCTGTTGGCCAGATCGACATACGGTCGTGTGTTCAGTATGCAAGACTTGTGCCCTGACCAGGCGCAGCGCAAGTTCTTCTCGTCCAACTTGACGCAAATCTACAAGGTCACGATGTTTCGTTTTTGGGGTTTGTGGTGTGTGGGTCCTGTGTGAGTTGGGGTTAAAACACGGGCATGCCCCCAGGACCTTAAGACGAACGGAGCTGTCGTGTTTCGCGGTTTCGAGATCTCCAAAGACAAGGCAACCTTTGGCCAGGCGGGAATGTCCTGCGAGAAGAGTGAGGGACACACAGTGAAGCCTGTCGGTTGCAGCCCTGTCCTGCAACGGCGCGTTTGATCCCGCGATGACTCAGCCATCCGCGCCTGATGCAGGTAGGGCAGGCTCTTGAGCTCGACCCCTGTGAGGAGAGCACTGAAGAGATGTTTGTTGCAACTGGACTTCTCCAGCTCTCCAGTGTCTGTCGTCCTAGCCCTACCACAGGACCCATTGCACTCGGTGGCGGCGCGAGATGCTGTGGACAAGAAAGCAGGTGTGTATGAGGCAGTGAACAAGCCGCAGACGACTCAGTCGGGAGACAGTCTCAGCAAAGCATCTGCTCCAACAAAAAGATGCTTCCGATTCTGAGATCCCGCAGCAAGTTCTACATCGGAATGCACAACGAGTCCCGCGGCTGTAGCACAAGATGCTGCAATTATGCTTTTCTCGGACAGTGTAGTAGCACTCTGGGGCTCTTTCTTTCGGTGTAGAGGGATTTGTTTGTTGATAAGCACACAAGGCGGCGAGGTGACCTCCGCCGGCCGTTCCCGTGGTGCGGTGCGCATGTTCAACTTCTCGCCGCAATCCCGCGCCGGCCGAATTCATAGCAGACTCTGGTATGTTATGGACTCTCATGCGTACTTGGTGTATTGTGCTCCCACCACAGAGAGAACTTTGGGGTGCTCCCTCCACGGCGGGCTCGCGGTCTTTGAAGTCCTGGCAGGGCCACTGTTCGGCTCTTCGGGATAGTAGGCAACCATATGCAACGATGCTCCCGCCACCGTGCCGCGAGGATCGTTCCGCAATTGGGCATCCTCCGTCACGCTGCAAAAATTAGAAGACGAAACATGATGAGTGGAAAATAGGTCTTTCGTCAACATTTTCCCCAATATGTTCGATGCCAACGTCGTTGCTGCGTGAATGTACCAATGGTGCTGTGTGTGATGTACGTGTCCGCGTTTAGGCCCGATGAATTCCAGCAGGAACAAAATGCATAGATGGAAGCCTGATGGTTGCTCGATCTCGGATTCAAAGATCGCCCACTTGGCTCTGAGCTTCCGCTTCCTTCCGCTTGAAGCGAGCCCCAAACTTTGCCGAAAAAGGAACGTATTTCTTTTCGCACCTTCAGAGCCTTACTGCTCGCAGTCCTGCCTCTTTCGGCTGCCACAGCACCCTGCGTATTTTGGGTGCAAATCGTGCTTCCACTGCAGAGTGGTGCCTCTCAATCCTTGGATCCTGCAATGTGCTCATGGAGTGGCTCTTGTGTATGTAGCGCTTGCACTAGGTGCTTGGTCTGACGTTTTGCAACCAGGATGGTCGGCGACAGAGCGCCAGGCGCAGCTATGTTTGTGTGCTTCAAGGCTGGATCCGCCTTCGCATGCATCTGTGAATGACAGAACTGATCTGTCCGAGCTCATTTGTTGATGGTTGGTTTTGAAGGAGGAAGCAAGATCTACTACCAGTAGCACAGTCCCGGTTTGGGATTTAGTGTCCTCTGAAGCTTAGAGAGTGTGCTCGCACGAGAAATGCTCAGTTCCCCCACGAGGACTTCAGCTGCCGAGTTCGATTGAGATGGGTTGTGTTGACATGTCCATAGCATGTCGATTGGCTTAACATGGGCCAGGCGGCCGAGCAAGGTGGTGAATTCCTCATTGCAGATGGCCGCAAGACTCTCGTCAAAAGAGTTTCAGAGTGGAGTTGGCAGATGACTGCGATATCACACAAACTGCCATGTTGTCCTTGTGCGAACAGTTTTGTCAGGATGTTCAAGGAGCTGGATGAGGCAAGCAGCCAGGTTCACCCCATGATGGCAGCTTTTTCCGACGCGTCTAGCCTGGCAGGCATGGCTCCAGAAGGTCTATGATTCAGTCACTTGTCTGAGTACAACGCGGGCGTGCCTTAAAATGACACATTCGCAGATGGCGGCACCAGGATGTGGTTTACTCAACCGCAGAGTTTCCCATGGGTTTCATCGAGAGATCAAGCTGCACTAAAGTGTCGGAGGCGTGCCGCTGTAGACCTGGTGTATTTCCAGAGCAGCTGAGGAGTCTGCCAGAGTTTGTGCAGCCAGCAGTTGAGCCGTTGGCCTACGGAGCCCTGACGCAGGCTCAGGGCCCCCAAACACCCAAGGACATGTGAGCATTTTCATTGCACCTTCTCATTGACAGGCGTTGAAGATGAAGGCGGCTGGCCTTGAACATAATTGGATTCTAGACGCATGCTTGGTGCAGGGCCTGCACGCAGGCTGAATCAGCAAAGCTTGCCTGGAGGTTGATTTCAAGACGGAGCTCCGATGGGAGAAGTCAGACTATGATGGCAGCAAGATCTTGCAGGTCAGGGTGTGTCGCCAAACTACACGCAGATCGGGTATATCAAAAGTGCAGGTACGGGCGATGCCACAATACCCTGTAATCCGCCATCATGCGACTGGAGAGCCGTGCTGGTGGGGTTCTATGCATTCACATGCAGCGCCTGGCTGGAAATGGCCATTGAGGGCTTCGCATCTAGTTCTCATGCAGACAACGAAATTGATATCCTGCGCGCAAAGCCCGGATGTGCAAGGGGATGTGTGCCGACACCCGAGGAATACCTGCGGTCTGAGCGTGAGAAGGTTTTCGGAGAAGCGCAGGCCAAGCCCAAATTGAACTAGAGACATCGTCTTGAGCGTTATGCATCAGCGATGCTGCCTCAGGAGACAACTGGGGCGCCGCTTAGATTGCCGTGAGTAAGCTTTGTTGAGTTTCTCCAAGCAGGAACCATCTTCTTCACAGCCAATCAGTTAGTGTTGCTTTTAGCACCCTGCCACATTCATGCACAGTCCAGCCAGTCATTTCACTGCTCACCCCGCTATCCCCGAGACTTTTGCTCGGAGTCGAAAGACTCCTTGTCTTTTCCTTGTCTTGTCTTGTCTTCATGGAGTCTACAACCTTCGTTTATTCTCAGGTCCAGAATAAACAAAACCGACGTTTTCTATGGCAAAAGCGGAGACAAGGTGGAGGTGCGGTGGGCATTTGCCATGGAGCCTAGTTGGTATGACAAAGTGTGCAATCTGTGGCTGCAGGTCGATTGGCTGAAACACTTGGACCAGGTGACCCTGGACTGTGCTATCAAGGTCAAGATGGAGACCGCTTCTGAGATTCTGATTTCTTTACGCCCCAAAGCGCTGGGGCGCGACGGTTGCCCAGAAAGGCCCGGAGACATGGTGCTGCTGGACAACTATCTGGTGATGCATGGTCGGTGTCCATTTGAGGGCACACGGCTGCATGCTGTGTCCTGGTTCAAGAGCGTTGGCCTCAGCTTGAACAACTTTCTGCTTCATTTTACTGCATGCTTCGGCGACACTTCGGAAACCCTCGGAATGTCGGAATGCAAATAAGCTCCACTCACGGATTCTTCTTGTCAACACCTCACTCGGCTCCCAAAAGGATTCGATCGAAGNNAGTACTCGTTTGCTAGCTGTGGGAGCGCATGCTGCCTGCTAAGCACGGCTTCCGCAGCCTGAAACGCAAGGCCAAAGGGACCCGCGCTCGTGTTGCTACCCTGGAGTCTGCCTGGCGAAAGTCTGCCTTTGTGGGGCGGCTGTGCTCGCATAGACCCGACTCGACAGCCGTCTCCCCGATCTTTGCATGTGCGTTGGCACCTCCTTCCAAGAAGCGACTCAGCTTCTGCAGTGGCGCCGTAGCACTGCGGGATTCGAAGCACCTAGCTATCCTGTTTGCGTTGGACGCTAGCCTTCCCAGGTTTTCGTTCTGAAGACGGGTCACAGGCTCTACTCCCTCTACTCCCTGTGGCCTGCCAGCGGTGGTCTAGATCACTTCTGTTGGGATCATCAGCCATTGACCTGTCCAGAGCTTAGGACGACTCAACCCCTCCCCCCCATCGCTGAGGTATTCCCACACCGACAAATGTGTACAGGCGAGGGATCTCAGGGTCTATTCATTTCCACGGGCATGGCAGTCAAGAAGCAGGGAATACCGTGTACAGATCTGCGTGATCGGAAATAGTGCATGTGAGGGCGATTGAGGATGGGGGGAGACGGGAGGGAGTCGAGCATGGAATCTGCTGGGGATCTTTTCGAGGTCTCCATCCGTTTCTAAAACTATCCGAAACCAGACATGTACATTTTCTAAATTACAGTATTGGTCAGGCAAGTTGGACTTCAGGGATCAGTCTCGTCGTTCGGGTTTTCGTGATTGCAGCTCAGGCTACACATCATCATAAACAGCCACATCTCAGAATCTCGTCCCAATGTATACACATGCTACAATCCGCATCATTGTTTCTTCTAGACTGGAGTTCTCTGCTGCATGCAAGCGTGCGCGAATGCGGATGGGATGAATTGCTGGAAACCCTCAATTTCGCAATACATGTGATCTAGGTGTATACATGATGCCAGCAGTTTGTGTACTTCACACAGATCCATTTTGTACATCCTCTTTGAAAGCTTGTCTTCCTCCGTTCTTGCTGCCCAGGGGGTTTTAATTTGACAGCCATCCTGCCCCAGTAGCCGGGACAGCAATGCGGCATTTAGGGTTTGCAGTGTTGGCTCCCGACAATGTTCTTATCAGCTTTCGGATTTTGGATTTGCGCACCATCATCCTTTGCTAGAGTATGAAATGCTTCTAACTTAGTCAGGCTTGCTTGGGTTTGCCACCCGCAATCTGCTGCCAAGGATGAAACCATTCGACATGCAACGCACTATCTGTGATCAGAATTTGGAGTGCTTTGGAATCAGGAACCTTTTTTTCGGAATGCCGGATCGAACCCTATCATTTTGATTGATAATGGGGTTTGCCAACCAACCTGCCCAATATGGTGGGTTGTTGCAGCCCTGTCGTGATATTGATGTTTGAAGTTCACCATCTCCTTCATATATATTAGGTTATTATTCATTAAGCACACCTAATAATTAGGATTCGAGTTTTTGAGAGCCACTCAGTACTTCCACTTGTCATTGCAAGGTTTTTCTCGAACCACTCCTGCACTTTAGCTCTATGGGTTTTTGGAACCAGTCTGCCGAACCACTTGTTTCATTGATTGCCGTGGCTTGTAAATGTGCAGTCTGGAGTCCATCATCCCTTGCACTAGTGAGGAAGGTTTGACCACCTACCTACTGTTCTTAGTCATGTATTGCTAAGGCTGTGGTTTCGGGGGGACGGGGGGGGGGGAAGTAGTCCCTCGTAGGATGTGGGAGATGCCACCCATCCGCCCCACAGTTTTCATGATAGCTGTCTGAACGACTGGGTTTGTCACCTATCTCCAGTATCAGGCTTGATGTCTTTTATCATTACTTCCTGATGTTAAGATTTTCGATCGCTTCTTAAGAACAGCAAAACGAGTGTTTTGCCCGAAAGCACAAACCCTGCAATGGGGTGGCGGGGTGCTTCAAATATTTAAAATAAAGGCCCCAATGACTTCGCGTTGTATATGCATCTATTCGGTGGCTGACGTGTCACTAGAAAAGTGCTGAGACGTCACTATCGAAGAAACTGTTTATAGATATATTTTGGATAGAACATGATGAAGAATACGCACACACGAACACACATGTGTGGCTATGCGATGTGTCAGTCTGTATGTACACACATAGACACACATACCTTCGCACATACACTCATATGTATGGGCAGGATTGCATATGGATCATACAGAAGGTAAAATGTTCTTGGAATCTGTTAGGGGTGAATGGTAGAATAATGGTAGAGATGAACTGTGTGCATTTCCTCTTCGGTCCTGGGCCTAGGCTTAGTCGTGATCTTGTTCCTCGGACTTGAGCTCGAAGTCTCCGCGTATTTCGAAATTTTCAGAGTCTCGCAGGCCCAGAGTAGGTCCTTACCGCGACAGGGTTTAAGCCAAGCCAGACGCAGGGGAATCACCATAAGGAGCTTTTAGGCTTTCAAAATGCCAAAATGGTGACTCCCGCGCTTACCCCCCTCCCCCTCCTGCCGCACACGGGGAATCACAATTTTGTAGGTTTATATAGGCACTTGAAAGTGCCAAAATGGTGATTCCCGCGTGCGCCCACCCCTCGGAGGATTGGAGCCATCAAAAAGGCCGTGCCGCCGGGGGGAATGACCATTCTGCAGGATTCAGGCCGTGAAAATGCCAAAATTGTGTTTTCCACGCGTGCCCCCGCCAGACGCAGGGGAATCACCAAAAGGAGATTTTACGCTTTCAAAATGCCAAAATGGTGACTCCCGCGCTTCCCCCCTCCGCCTCCTGCCACACACGGGAGAATCACATTTTGGAGGTTTATATAGGCACCTGAAAATGCCAAAATGTTGATTCCGCGTGTGCCCACCCGCCTGTCGTGGTGAGGTTTTGATGCCTATTGTCGTGGTGAGGTTTTCAATGCCCTGTCATGGTGAAGTTGTTTTTCTGTCGTGGTGCCAATATTTCTTGTTATGGTGTGAAACCCTTTTTCTTGTCATGTAACAACGCGCTCTCCTCGCAGGCCTGGTCCATAGGCCTGGCTCCAGGCTCAGATGGCTGCGCTCTAGCGGCTCTAGCGTTCCTCGACCAAGGGGAGGGGGGGGGGGCCGCGCAAAAACAAGAAGCACATTTTTCTGTGCCTCACCACCCCACTCCCCGCCACTGCTCCCTAGTGCTGTAGGCACTATCTGCGGGTGGTATTCCCGCAGGAGCCTTCTCAGCTCTGCAACCTTACTGTGTGTTAGTGATTTCAAGCTATGCAGCATGGGTTTGTCTGAATGCATGTAGACAGTATGTAGACAATTGAAGTAGATACAATACTCTTGCAACGGGCCTGTGGTGCGACGCTGTCTGCATAGTATGTATATGTATATATATATATCTATCTCTCTCTCTCTCTATATATATATATATACATATGCACACATCTTAAATATAATTTGCTATAATGCACGATGACGTGTTACAACATACTTCAATATATAACAACTCTTTTTGCGTGTGTATACTCTCGCTCTCTCTCTCTCTCGCTATACATACAT